TACCTGTACAACTTGTAATTGTTGTGGTGTACAATTAGTTATTTCTATATAGGTATTGAATAAATAAAAAGTAATTATATATAAATAATAAATAAATAAATAAATAAATAAGTAAATAAATAAATATAAATAAATATATAAATATAAATTACCTGTATAACTTGTAATTGTTCTTGCGTACAATTAGTTATTTCCCTTATTCGTATTGAATAAATAAAAAGTATTTATATATATAAATAAGTAAATAAATATAAATAAATAAATAAATATAAATAAATAAATATATAAATATAAATTACCTGTATAACTTGTAATTGTTCTTGCGTACAATTAGTTATTTCCCTTATTCGTTGTTCAATTTGTGGCGAAGAATTGACGAAATTATCAACAATTAAGACGTCATAATTTTCTTGAATTAATTGGATAACTGTATGACTACCAATATATCCAAGTCCTCCTGTACTGCATAGAAAAAGAGAATAAAAAAGAGGAAATATAGTGAGAAATTATCCTTTATATACTTATTTATTATATTATCTACTTTTTATCTTCTTTTTTATGTATTTATTATAGGGGGAAGGAAGAAAAATATAGATGAATATCTGCGTGTGTGTACGGAAGCAGGAGGGAGGGAACAGAAAGAAGAAGGAAATATTTACCAAAGAATACGAGGACGAGAAGAAGCCGTCATTGTTGACGCAAAAAATAGAAAAGAAATGATACTTTTATAAAGAAAAAAAGAAAAAAAAGATAAAAGTAATAAAAATTGTATATAAGCGGAAACTTCTTCTTTCCTCTATATTGTGTACTTCTCGGGTGTATAGGCAGCTCTGCACAAGAATAAATGAATAAATGTGTACAAATTGATGAACTTTTTGGATAATTCATGAAATAAAATACATTATTTAATTTAATTTATTATTTTTATTCATTTATAAACAACAATTCATCTTTATATATACTTATTTCGTTACCAGTGCGTCGTCACCGCAAGCAAGCCCCGAGCAACAACGTTCCTCCTATGGCAAGGTAATTATTATTGTATAATTTATTTATTTTTATGCATAAATTGCAGAAAATTTAATTAAATTATTTATTTTATTTACTTTTATTTCCCTAAAATTACAATATTATTGCTATTTTATCCGTTTTTATCTATATACAACCATCTGTGTCTTGCTTTCCAGCTGCTGCCGACACTCCCTAAACCCTAAACCGCAAACCCTAAACCCTAAACCCTAAACCCTAAACCCTAAACACTGTCTGCAACAACGGAGATTGTATCACCGCAAATTAGCATTTTTTATACTTTTCTTTTCTCGAGTATTTTCTTTTTTTTATTATTAATTATTAATTAATAATTAAACTCAATTATGCATGCATGCATGCATATTATGTGGGGTTTATTAACAAAAAAAATATTTTTTTTATTTCCTCTTTTTTTTTCTTCTTTTCTTATTCTGTGTATTTTATGTTATTTAATGGTGAATATAGTTGTATTATACAATAGGTATAAGGTATTAATATATATACATTTATTTATTTATTTATTCATTTATTTATTTATTTATTTATATATTTATTTGTTGATTATTATTTATTTATCTATTTATTATAAATTATTAACAAAGAATTATTATTACCTAGAAAAGAGTGTAGTATAATTATAATAGTAAATAATAATAATAATAATTATAATAATAATAATAATAAATAATAATAATAAACAAATAAACAAGAAAAGGAATGCAAAGACGTACATGCAAATTAGGTGTTTAATTAATTCAAAAAAAGGGTTTAGGGTTTAGGGTTTAGGGTTTAGGGTTTTGAATAATACGAGAGTGCACATGCAGCCCCACTATCATTTACATTTGTTTACCATCTTGTCTGTTGAGTTCCTTCTTAATATACACCGCAAAACCCTAAACCCTAAACCCTAAACCCTAAACCCTAGAAACAGAGTTGCGAGGGTTGGCAGTTGGATAGATAGTCTTGGGTGTCTTCCCTCATGTGCTCACTTTATCAAAACCCTAAACCCTAAACCCTAAACCCTACGGTTCGCCATTTACAGAGAAGAGGCCCTAAACCCTAAACCCTGTTACACCAGCATAAGGAAGGGTTTAGGGTTTGTGCAGAAGAGCAAAGAAGGAAAGAAGCCAAATAAAACATCACACTAGGGATTGATCTACACTTGCTGCTGCTGCTGCTGCTGCTGCTGCTGCTTCTGCTGCTTCTCCTGCTGCTGCTGCTGCTGGTAAGGGCTGCAAGAAGCAGTGTTTAAATTGTTGTTAGGGTTTGGTGAGTGTTTTTCTCCAAACCCTAAACCCCAATCTAAACCCTCCTCCTCCTTTGATGCAAACACAGCTAGCTAGCAGCAGCAAAACCCTAGACACTAAACCCTAGACACTAAGCCCTAGACACTAAACCCTAAACCCTAAACCCTAATGCCGAATAGGATTTGTATGTATAACTGCACTGTGGTGTTTACCAACAACAACTT